GTTGCTTTGTGAGATTAAATATTATTTTGATGTGGTGCGTTTTTCCGTGTGTGGTATGGGCTCTTAGGTGTACAAGCTGTCAATAGCGGCAGCATGTGAGCTGCAGTGGCCAAAGAACAGGATAATAGTTCAAGTGCTGGACGATTCCACTGATCCCTGTATCAAGGTAACCTGCCTCTCCTAGTTCCTTGTTTCATGGTTGGGGATTATTCCTACAGAACCCTTTGTTTGGTGGAGAAACTATTAATTTTGGTACTGTTAGATCCTATCAGAACAAGTGAAACATCAAACTGGTTTGTTATAGCAGACGAGTGCTCAAACTCGACCTGTTGTGGAATCAATACCAGCAGGATGATAACGTTTTGACACGAGACTAACTGCAATAGCCTCATAGGAGCATGCTAATCATTTGGGCCGGTTGAGTGGGTGCAGAGAGAATGTTTCCATTGTGAAGTGAGTAGCTAGCATAACAGATGCTCCTGCTTTTATGAGATTAGTTACATGAAAGCTACTTCAGCATTTGGCATAAAGGGAACGTGAAATGGTTGCCTCACCTGATAAAATATTTCGCAATCACAAGTCATCATCCAAGTAGGGATAAATGATCAAATATTTTGATGAGGTAAATGCAGAACGTGTAGAAGAAAACAACTCGAAGGAAGAGACAAGGCTGAGAATGAGGACAAAGGTTAATAGTCATCTGGACCATACACTCACATATGGCCAACTGCAGGCCAGACCCAGCTGTCTGGGTTTTGCTGCTGTTGTTAGAATCAAAGCAGTGTGGATGAAGTGGCGCCAAGCATCTGGTGTCCTATGTGACAAAAGGGTACCACATAAGCTAAAATGCAAGTTTTATAGGACGACGATTAGACCTGCTATGTTGTATGGTGCAGAATGTTGGCCTACGAAAAGACGACATGTTCAACAGATAAGTGTCGCGGAAATACGTATGTTGCGTTGGATTTGCGGTCATATAAGAAGGGATCGAGTTCGGAACGATGATATACGTGATAGATTAGGGGTAGCACCAATTGAAGAAAAGCTTGTCCAACACCGGTTGAGATAGTTTGGACATGTCCAACGGAGATCTCTAGAGGCACCGGTGCGTAGTGGAATCCTAAGCCAAGATAGTAACATGAAGAGAGGCAGAGGAAGACCGAAGTTGACTTGGGTAGAGGCAATAAAAGAAGACTTGAAAGGATGAAATATACCCAAAGATTTAGCCTTAGATAGGAGTGCTTGGAAAACAGCTATTCACGTGCCTGAACCTTGATTGCTTCTGCTGGGTTTCAACTCTAGCGTACCCCAACTTCGTTTGGGACTTAAAGGCTTTGTTGTTGTCGTCGTCGTCTATTAGGTGCTTGCAGCTTTGTTTATGTAAAGATAATATTCCAGCGAAAATAGCGTTACTAGAACTGAGTAACCATACCAAAACTAACAATATCAACCACTGTGGGGTATTGGACTGACAGTATCATTAAAGTCTGTCAGGAGCACCATGGGGAGTTTGGCCCTTGAACCTTCAGGTACTGAGATCTGCACACGCCATATGGTACAGCCACATGAGAATAACTATTGGCTCCTGACATTTCACAGCATCATGAGCCCCCCCCCCTCTGCCTTTCTGTTCACTTGTCTTTGTTTATTCAGAACCATAGATCTGAGGCAACGGTTCAATGATTGGTGGGCATATTCTTCTTTGGGATGGATCTTCCTCACCTCTCAAAAAGTTTCACTTCATAATTTGGAGTGCCTGCTAGATACATGCATATCAAGCACTGTTCCTATGAAGTCCAATCTGTTTACACGACAAGGAATCAAAATTTATGATCTGTGTTCATCCAAATTCTTGCAATTTTTCATGAAGCGCCATTTTGAGGAAGTGAAGTTTCAAACAAAAATGTGAGCCAGTAAATTATATCATGAAAAAGGAAAACGATGTCCATGCCATTCCTCTCTGGTGGCAGTAGTAAATATGAATATTGATTGATCTATCTGGTTTGATTGAATTGTGTTAGGGAATGGGTTGGTTTAGTGCGATGGAGCTGTAGTAGTTGGCAAGCACAGCTGCACAAGGAACCTTTGATGAAGCACCGATGACCTTCCAAGCAAATAGAAGACAGTCCTCTTGCCATCAGATTTATCCATTTGTGTTGACATAGCAGCTACTTGCCAACCTATCTTCAGATAGCGAACAACTAAACCTTGCTTACCATTTCAGTATCTGAACTGCCATCACAAGAGTTCAACCATCTTATTATCGTAGTGGGTTAGATAATTTAAAATATTACTTATTGGGTCTAACAAAAAAAAATATGATGACTGGGATTACTTCTTGCTGCAGAATTTGGTGGAGCTTGAATGTGAGCACTGGGCGAACAAAGGTGTCAATATTAAGTATGCCACAAGAACCAGCCGCAAGGGATTCAAGGCAGGAGCTCTGAAGAAAGGAATGGAATGTGACTATGCAAGGCAAAGCGAATACATTGCCATATTTGATGCTGATTTCCAGCCTGAACCAGATTTTCTGCTCCAAACTGTCCCATTCCTTCTGCACAATCCGGAAGTTGCACTTGTTCAAGCTCGGTGGTCCTTCGGTAAGTACTCCATTTCCTGTTAGCTCTTGAGCACCATTTCCGTTCGTCGACTCTCCAAGGACGAGGTTGTTGTTGCATGTGAAGTATTGCATATAATGTGTGGGTTGTATGACATTGAGCCCTTGGGCGGTATAAATAGAGTACAAGGCTTTGGTGGGCAAGATGACTCCTTGATACACATGGCAATACGGGATTACAATATCCTAAACTACTAATATACTCTAACATGCACAAGTAGTCCTTGTGACTAGCACAAGGAACTTGGAACAAACAACCTCACTGTTTTGGCCTCTCAGAAAATAAACATCTCCTTGCATAATGATGACATTAAAATACATTTCCATATTCTCCAATGGTTCATGATGATGCCAGAAAGATGGCATAGAAACTGTTCAAATATAATATAACATGAAAAATGCTAAACTTCTCAAGCAATATAGTATTTTATTCACTCTGATCGGTCCAATTCTTAATTGACAGAATTTTGCAGTGAATGACACCACAAGCCTGTTGACAAGGGTACAGAAGATGTTTTATGACTACCACTTCAAAGTTGAACAAGAAGCAGGATCAGCAACTTTTGCCTTCTTCAGTTTTAATGGTACACATCTTTTTTAAACCTCTAAAGAGTACAAATTCTCGAAAAGAGGGGTAAATAACCCCAGGGTTTCAATTTCAAAACCATACAATCTCCCTAATGGCATTTCTATTCTAGGAACTGCTGGAGTGTGGCGTACAGTAGCCATAAGAGACGCAGGAGGTTGGAAGGACCGAACTACAGTTGAAGACATGGACTTGGCGGTTCGAGCAACCCTAAAGGGCTGGAAATTTGTATATGTTGGGGATGTTAGAGTGAGTAGATCTTAACATATAACAGTGTTGTCAAAAGTAAATATATTTGATGTGATCATTTGACTATGCAATTCACAGGTCAAGAGTGAACTGCCGTCCACTTACAAGGCCTACTGTCGGCAGCAATTCCGGTGGTCTAGTGGTGGTGCAAACTTATTCCGTAAGATGGCAAAGGATGTTTTGGTTGCCAAGGTGAGCATATCTCCGCCCAGGTTCCATTCTGGCAAATCATGCCTTTGGGGAAAAGATCTGAAAATTAGCCCCACTTGTTGTTCCACTAGGATATATCACTCGTCAAGAAGTTTTATATGCTCTATAGCTTCTTCTTTGTGAGGAGAGTTGTAGCGCCGACGGCTGCCTGTATTCTCTTCAATGTCATAATCCCCATCTCAGTCACAGTTCCGGAGCTCTACTTACCAGTGTGGGGTGTTGCCTATATTCCCATGGTGCTTACCATAGTCACAGCTATAAGACATCCAAAGTAAGTTTCTTTGTGATTGTGAGTTCTAGAACAACATTGCTCATCTGTCCTTTCACCAGAACTGAAGCTAATGAACTTCAACTTGTCTTTGCAGAAATCTACACATAATGCCATTTTGGATTTTGTTTGAGAGTGTGATGACATTGCATCGCATGAGAGCTGCACTGACTGGACTGCTGGAATTAGAAGGGTTCAACCAGTGGATTGTGACAAAGAAGGTGGGGAATGATCTCGAGGACACTGACGTTCCTTTGCTTCAGAAAACCCGGAAAAGGCTAAGGGACAGGTGAAAACTCGCAACTAAGATTTTCTGGTATAAACTATTAAGGGTAGCAGGCAGGTCGACACTACACGTCATACATTACTGATACTGTTTTTTCTTGCAGTGTCAATTTCCTTGAGATTGGATTTTCGGTGTTTCTCTTCCTCTGTGCATCATACAACCTGGTGTTCCATGGGAAAACAAGCTACTACTTATATATGTACTTTCAGGGATTAGCATTTCTGTTACTAGGGCTTAACTTCACTGGCACTTGTTCTTGCTGCCAATGACAGCATGTTAAAGCTGTATGAATTGCTGCTTTATAATCATTTTCTGGGCATGCGTTCGTAACGTTTCAAATGGTTTAGATCCTAGATGCATAGAAAGATGGCGTTATTCTGCACGCTCGCAGTGATTTAGATCTTGTAATACAATACTGTCATCACAAAGTTAAGGATGTGAACGTTGTGACGGCAATTTTCAGAAAGTGCTTTGTTTTATCGGGTATTGAATGGGAGGGATACGCTGTCAACCAACGGCTGCCCTCTTCACACCGATGCCTCGAAAAACAGGTCTGATGCTAATACAGTAAAAAACATTAAAAAAAATACATTCAATGGGGGTGATAGACGTGAATTGCATATACTCCGTTGCGGGTTACAGATCATCGATCATTCAGGCACAAACGGATATATGACCTCTCAAAAAAATTGACTAAATACACACAAGATGATTTTGGAGCTAGTGGGAATGTATAGTTTCTGGGCTGCCACAAGAATGACTAACCTATTCATTCCTGGTTACATCAGAAGGGGCATTTCATCGAAATACAACCCTCAAACCCTTTCGACAGGGCATCCTCAACATTACAGGGGGAGTTCTGAAGGCAATCTCTTGAGTTGTGTAAATGCATATCCTCGTGGTAATCTGAGGAACTATTAGAGAAATGGGTAATTTTGTGGGATTCCCTCACTCCATATCTCGCATCATGACTTTCCTTGAGTCGCTTTATTGGGGTAAGATGGACAGAACGTGTAAAACTATCTGAAAGTTCTACATCCTCTTCATTGGACTTGAAGTGAGGACATTTCCTCTTTGATCCAGGTAGAGGATCCAGCCCTGTAACACCAGATTCAGAACAGTGTGTAATGTGAAGCTCGATAAAAAAATATAGTAAAATAACACAGGTGGAAATTAGAAAGGGATGCATCAAAGGTCTTTAAGAAAAAGGTCATTGAAGAGGGCCCTTGGAATGATGAAGGCGATGCAAACAACATGTGGAAAAAGATGGCAACATGCGTTCGGAAGGTTACTTCAGAGATGTTTGGAATGACCAAAGGGAGCGGATGCTACTCGAAAGACACTTGGTGGAATGAAGATGTGCAAAAGGCTATTAAGGAAAAGAAGGAGTTCTATAAGCGCTTGTATCATGACAGGTGTGCAAACAACATAAAGAAGTACAAGATGGCAAAGAAGACTGCAAAATGAGCGTGAGTGAGGCAAAGGGACGGGCCTATGAGGACTTTTACCGACGTTTGAGTACGAAGGAAGGAGAGAATGACATTTATAAGATGGCTAGGGCTCACGATAGGAGAAGATAAGGGACTTCAACCAAGTCAAGTGCATAAAGGATGAGAGGGAGCAGCTCTTGGTGAAGGAGGATGAGATCAGACATAGATGGCAAGAGTATTTTGATAAATTATTCAATGGTGAGAACGAGAACACCACCGTTCAACTGGACGACTCGTTTGATGACACTAACAGGCGCTTTGTGCGGAGGATTCAAGAATCGAAGGTCAAAGAAGCCTTGAAAATGATGAAAGGGGGCAAAGTGATGGGCCCTCATGGTATCACAATCAAGGTGTGGAGATGTCTCGGGAATATAGCTATAGTATGACTAACCAAGATGTTCAACAATATCTTTCGATCGAACAAGATGCCTGAGGAGTGGAGAAAAAGCATATTGGTACCAATCTACAAGAACAAGGGAGATATCCAAAGTTGTACTAATTATCAGGGAATTAAGTTGATGAGCCACACTATGAAGTTATGGGAGAGAGTCATCGAGCAACACTGCGAGGAATGACGCAGATATCAATAAACCAAGTTTCATGCCCGGAAGGTCAACCACAGAAGTAATCTTATTAATAAGACATGTTATAAAGCGGTTTAGAGAGCAGAAGAAGGACCTCCATTTGGTTTTCATTGATTTGGAGAAGGCTTATGACAAGATACCAAGAAATGTTATGTGGCGGTCTTTGGATAAACATAAAGTCCCATCAAAGTACGTGACCCTCATCAAGGACATGTACAACAATGTTGTGACCAGTGTTCGAACAAACGATGGTAACACATATTACTTCCCGATTAAAATTAGACTTCATCAAGGGTCAGCCTTAAGCCCATATCTCTTTGCCTTGGTAATGGATGAGGTTATATCCCTTGGTGTATGTTGTTCGCTGATGATGTAGTGTTAGTGGGCGAAAGTCAAGCTGGAGTAAATATGAAACTAGAGTTATGGCGGCAGACCCTTGAGTCTAAAGGTTTTAGATTGAGCAGAACTAAAACCGAATACATGAGATGTGACTTTGGTGGAGTTGTACAGGAGGAGAGAGATGTGAGTTTGGAACGTTAAGTAGTGCCTAAGAAGGATAACTTTCGGTATCTGGACTCGATGCTACAGAGGGATGGAGATATTGATGCGGACGTTAGCCATATAATCAAAGAAGGGTGGATCAAGTGGCGACAAGCTTCTAGCATTCTCTGTGACAAGAGGGTACCACAAAAACTAAAAGGTAAGTTCTATAGAACGGCGATTAGACCGGCTATGTTGTATAGAGTAGAATGTTGGCCTACAAAGATTCGACATGTTCAACAACTGAGTGTTGCAGAAATACGTATTTTGCGATGGATTTGCGGTCACACAAGAATGGACCGAGTTTGGAACGATGATATACGTGATCGCCTAGAGTTAGCACCAATTAAATAAAAGCTTGTCCAACATCGGTTGAAGTGGTTTGGCCATGTCCAAAGGAGACCTTCAGAGGCACCAATGCATTGTGGAGTCCTAAGCTAAGCTAATAATATGAGGAGATAGAGGAAGACTGAAATTGATATGGGGGAAGACAATAAAAAGATATTTAAAAGCTTGGATATATCTAGAGATCTATGTTTGAATATGAGTACTTGGAAATCAGCTATTGAAGTGCCTGAACTGTGACTTGGGGCTCTTGGTGTGTTTCAACTCTAGCCTACCCCAACTTGCTTGGGACTAAAAGGCTATGTTGTTGTTGTTGTTGAGTAAAATAACACTGGTCCAAATAATAATGATAATAATAATACCTTTAAATGTACTGGAAATGCTACACTGTGATTCCATCGCACTGCTGCAGTCAGTGGAGTGATAAATTCTACATTTTACAAGTAGAGACACATAAGTCAGCATACAACTAGGAAGAAACATTACTCTCCGAGACAACAAGAAGACTAACTTAGCTTATTATGAAGAATAAATTCACTAAAACTGTATAGCTAATTAGCTATTGCATAAAACAAACGTTCCAATCGTTCTTTCTCTGCATAAGCCAGGGTTTCCCCCGCGAGAAGCTTCCCATTACACATTCAAAAGAAGAACTGACAGGCAACAGTTATGGATGAATCAGCGCTGATCAGCAACTTCTGTGAGCCCCGTCCTATTGTAATTTCTACAGAGCCAATCTGGTTTCTGCAATGTTTTCTTTTTTTAACTTGCTACCCGGTATAGATTGTCACTATGGTTTTGAATAGACAGTAATCACACAAAGCTTTGCAAAATAAACAATTCTACAAAAAAACTACTAGTAGTTTATCAAAGCAAGCCACATCTAGGCCTATACTCCAATAGAATGTTACAAGAGTAAAATAGATCTTGAGATCTTCCCAAAATCTTCCATGAGTAAAATAGCTTAGCCTTGGACAACATGCAGACCTTTCCGCACTCCCTAATTTAAATTTTGATTATTCATTTATAATAGGGGAAATCCAAGGGGTATTGTAGTGGAAGAAAACAGGTCTCATTTGTGTTTCATGACTAATTTAAGAAAGGATTTACTGACTATGAAATTGACAGCAGAAAGTCAATCAGTGGAAAGAAAATGAAAACTGGTGAGAATCATTATATGCTTGCATTATCCATTTAATGATTATGCTTTATGTTTGACAACAGGAAGAACATATATAAACTGAACTGCAAGAGAATATAATCATGTTGTGGCAGCAAACCTGTGCATTTGCTCCACAAAATCATCAATCAGAACAGGCCAAGCACCTGAAAAAAGACACAGGGAACAGGAACTAAGAAATTTTCTTAATTATCATGGAGCTACGCTATAAAGGCAGCTGCAGCCTGCAGATATAGAATTGAAAATCGAAGTAGTCATGTAGAAAGAATTTGTACCTCGTGGGTCATAACCTTCCAGATCTTCATTTACACACCTGCTGAAAGCTAGCAGCTGCTGCCAAGTATCCTCGGATATGTTGTGGCGTTGGTACTTCTGAGAAAGAGTATTATAGTTTTAGGCTTTTAGCTAAGAAAAAAACAGTGAAGCGTATTTATGACTGTTCATCATAGGAAAGGGGGGTGTAAGTGATGAAGCTAATTTCCTTTTCTGAAGAGGAAAAAAATGGAATATTCGAGAAAAAAGAATGTTAATGGTTTATTGAGGACTAAAGATTTGAACTGTTGCAAAGCAGTATTATAGTACTTCAACCCTTAGGTTTTCAACATTTCTTCCCAGCAAAAGATGCCAAATTGATAACTAAAGCAACTATGCATTCTGCACTATGCGAGAGTGCTAACTAAATTATGCATCTTGCAAAACACAAATTTAGGTTTGACAAGGACATAAGTATTAGCCAGAATGGCACAACTGGAAACCAAACATCTAATAATTACCACGTGCATCAATATTCTAACATTTCTGTTTAGTCAATAGTCACCGTGTATCAAACCATATAATTTACAGCATAAGCCAGCCATTCAACTAGAGTGAAGTGCTTATCTTCATATATATATGACATGTCTTAGTAAATGTTGGTAGAATGACAACTAAAGAATATCCATGTCAACCTTGCTTTTATTATTCTCTAGGGTAACTGGATAAGAATAGAGCACTACTAATACTTTAATAAACAACCAAAGTTGCAGAATGTCAATGTGCAACACATATTGGAGTTGAATTATGGAGATGTCATATCATGGCCAAGCAGAGCAATTTCTATACCTCAACGAAGTTACACCATCGATCAAGCAAACGGAACCTTCCGTTCAGAACAATCTTCCATGCTGCTACAGCTCTCTGAATAGCTATACAAATGAAAAGGGGAATTCCTAGTTAGTGTTCTATTGGTATAAGAAGTATATACTAGGATACCAGTAGCGTCCAGACATCATTGAGAATAGAGGATCTTACTGATACTCTTTTGCCCCTTTTCACGACAGATGAAGAAGACAAAATCGTAGAAGCAACTGAATAGGCCCATATCCTCCTAAAAAAGAAGGCTCTCAATTAACATAAGGTAGTGAAGAAGGCTCTCAATTAACGTAATGTAGTAAAGATCGACAAAAAAAATCTCAAACAGCTTGGAAAGCATCACTCACCAAATCAATAAATGGAATGAGCTTTGGGATATCAGCAAAAATCACGTCCCTGCATCAATATTAGGATGTTTAATCATGTGAAAGGCAAACATAGGATGAGAAAAATAAAACAGAACCAAACATGATACAAAAAGAGAAGCATACATTCACATGATATGGAGGTTATGAAGGTTTATGTGATCAGGGCTGATTAAGGATGTGTGCTTGTGTCTTGGTCAGGATATATGAGCGACAAGCAATGAAAAAGGCCATGATGTTTGCAACATTGAATAACCACCATGATATTTTTTTTTTTACTTCCAAGTAAAAACAGTTAAATGTCAATGTGATGGTAACATTAACACAGAAAAATCAGCTCCAAAAGATTTATCACCCGTGACCGGAAGGTCCCGGGTTCGAGTCGCGGTCTCCTCGCATTGCACAGCGTGGGTAAGGCTTGCCACTGACACCCTTCCCCAGACCCCGCACAGAGCGGGAGCTCTCTGCACTGGGTACGCCCCTTTAGAGAGACAAGAAAAACAACTATTTATATTCACATATTGTTCAATTCGTGTTTAAATCTTAGTCAAATTACACCTCGGCCAAATTCTAAACAGAAAGTAGTAAGGGTCAATAGATTTCTCTAATTCTCAGACAAGGTTTCATATTTCAAATCTACATATGCAAGCAAGAAGTAGAAAAGCATGCATCTTGTCATAAAGTTTCACCATGGTGCAGGATATATATCATAATGAAAAGAACTCTCAAAGATGCAAACCTCATTCCTTCAATTCCATCTATAGCTAGTGAAAGTTCAACCAATCCTTGTCTTGTCTCCCCACTTGTACCTCCTGATACGATACCTAGCAAAACAAAGGCCAAAAGAACCAATAGGTCGATATAGTGCCCCAATAAAAACAATCTGAACTAACAATGTGAACACGAGAACCGTTTACTGCACATTAAACTTTTGTACTATGCACAAGGTTTGGTTCTAGTTCCTGAGAATTTAGTCTACTCTAGGTGCCAAAGAAAGATGGTATGATCGAATTGCACAAGAATTATCAAGTGTACGGCCTCGAAGTGTAAAGAACAACATATCAGTTTGCACCCATTTTTCGTCAAGAAGTCAGACAATTGACCATCGATTAACGTTAAAGATCACTTCTTCAGTACTCGAACCGACCCATTTAGCAGAATTCCCAACTTGAAAACCACAAGGTTCGTGATAATTCGCAAAAAGAACCGACCCATTTTTTTGGACCAAAATCCAAAAAAGTTACCCGCTAAACCCACCTAAAAACCGCAAGCATCTGCTCCAAACCCGCGCTACCGAAAGAACCCTGGACCTACGGATCGACCGGAACACACGCGAGCAAGCGAGTTCGATGGCGGGGAGCTCACCGTAGTACTTGAGGAAGGCCTCGGCGGCGGAGGGGCACGCGGCCGCAAAGCCTTCGGATCCCATGGGCCAGGGCGCGGATCCGAACCAGGAAACCCTAGCCCCCCGCGGCTCGCCGCCGACGCCACAACAATCCCAAGTCCACCACCTCCTCGATCTCACGTGAGAGCGAGCCGACACGACACGGAGGCGAGCGGGAGAAGGCAAGAGGTGAGAAAGGGAGATGGATGAGAGGGAGAGAGACGTCGAGTTCGGTGGAGGGCCAGGGTGTCAGGCATCTGCTAGTGCCGAAGTGGTTTAGTGTGGGTCCACACGTCAGTGTCTCTGTCAACCCGTTGTCACTGGGCTCTGACAGAGACAGCGGGTTGCGAACGGATAAACAGGATATTCGGGCTTAATTCTATTTTGCTCCTCTGTAATGGGCCTGCAAGAAGCAGCCTTTCTTCGGTCGCTCCATATATCAAATGGACGGATCTGTTCCGTTTCCGTGATCACTTTTTTTAAAAAAATTGTTTCCATGATCACTTCACTTAATGGGCCAGCTCGGGAACCTTCCAAGATATTTGTATGGCCTTTAAAATGGTCCTATTTTTTTAAAAACTTACTTATATAACCTAAAAACAAAAATATCTCCCTTTTATGGCCTTCCGTCCAATTTAGCCTATTTGACGGTGTTAAATGTGGGTTAAAATGAACATTTTACCCTGACAAAAAAGTGCAGAGTTTAGTTTATCTGTTTTAGATTTAGAGTAATATTGCACAAATAAGGTCACACGTAATAATACATAAATTGTAGTTTCCAGGCTTCTATGCGATTAATATGCTGCTGAAACTTTGTTTTATTTTTTTAGCATCTTAATGATTTCAAATGAAAAAATGTGAAACTATAAAGGTCCCGTTCGCATCGCTGAAAAAACAAGTCGAAACACTGTTCCCGCTGATTTGTTGTGAGAGGAAAACACTGTTCCGTCTGAAAAAACAAGCTGAAAATGACGGATTATAAGAGAAGCGAATACGGCCAAAGTTGTACATCCCATTGAGAGCTACAATTTTCATATATAAAGTATCTATATTTGACGCCACAGAATATGATTTTCCAAGGCGACGAGCGCTTTTACGTGATTAATATACTATTGAAATTTTGTTTATTTTTTTTAGCATCTTAACGACCTCAGACTAAAATACTCAAAACTAGAAAGTTGTAGATCTCGTCAATAGCTATAATTTAATTATAAAAACCATCTTCATCCAAGATCATATGAAAAAGATACAATTTTTTCGTTGAAACTTTTACCCCACATTTAACACCGTCAGTAGCCTGAATTGGATGGAATGTCATAGAAGGAAGATATTTTCGTTTTCGGGCCATACAGGTAAGTTAAAAAAATAGAGCCAAGGAAGAAAGGCGTATATTTTTTTTGAAGGTCATACAAGTAAATATCTCTTCCAGAACCTTCACCGCACTAGCCTCCCATAATAGCTGCCAATTCAAGCCACCGAAAAATCACACCAAAAAACACATCCATATGATTTGTGAACATCTGACTTTGGTATTGGGATAGATCATCTGGAAGTCATCTCTATTGTATTCATTAGTCCTCATAACAATACTTCCCACTAAATTGCCAATATCAAGCATTGATATATAGAATTTTACAATTATTTCTGAGGACATGGAACTTATTGGTTTTTTTTTCGCTTTGCCTTTCTTTTTCTTACTCTCAAAACTCATCCTTTAATTAGCATGACTACTGGTTTTTTAGCATTGTTGGGACCTATCAGCTGTCAACATCTTACATTCAACATTTGAAGCATGTGACAGAAGGAACTACCAGTTATAGACATTGTTGTGATGTCCAATCGTAAACAGGACATGTGTCAACAGGATGCACAAAAGCCATATAACAATATAGAACTATATTGAAACAGATAGAAGTCTGAAAACACATTAACTATATTGTAATCGGAAACCGATAGAAATCTGCAAAACACATTGCAAACTTTAGCGAAAAACCGAATTGTTGTGAAAAAAACTGCAAAAAAACAAGCCGAACAAGCCAAACTTTAAGACAAGCGAACGGGGCCATTATTATACATTTAAATGTCTAAAGGGAAGGGAACATGAGTAAGAATATATGTACTTCTAATGCAACACGTGCAGTTTGATCAAGCTCACAAGGGAAAATCACTAATGTATGCAACAGTTTGATTGGGGATAGCTATAGATGGAAGTAGACATATTGGGGTTTATGACCTTGTTGACTGTAGCTGTGACTCACAGTGTTAGGGAGATACTCTTGGGCCCTAATAAATTGACCATTAGCTATTGCACGACGATGCAAAGCGTCAGGACCGTGGAGATAAATCACATGCATAGGACAGTGTAACACGTCTTCCAACTGGTGGCTCAGTCAAAAAAATCAGGACAATATAGTTAAACATGGATAATGAGAAACCCATAAGAGCCCAGTCAAAAAAAAAAAGGACAATCTAGTTAAACATGGATAATGAGAATCAAGAAAGAAACTAGCACTCCTTGTACAAACTGTATAACGTAGACTTTGGTCATTACGTCCCAACTGGTGGTCATAATACTCATAAGATGCACTAACTCCTATACTCGAGAAATTAAATATTATTCAGTTACTCAGATGACACATTAAGTAGCATGACGCTCAATGTACCAGTTAGGGTATACAAAGTTGGATTTGAGGTAGTGATGGCGGAAAAGCAGAACCCCTCTTCATATTTAAGATCATAATTGTGACCAAACCACCCCAATTTATACAAGATTAAGTATGAATGTCCTTGTTAAATACGTTGACACGCACATACCGTCACTTATATAAACACGGTAGTCCGTCGAGTACCATGAATGCCTCGATAAATCAAATTCACAACCAAGATCGTACTTGATTAAGCAAATACATATCACATACACAGAGTTTGCAGCGGAAATAATATTACAATATGGTCACAAGTAATTAATACAAGTTCAGTTTCAAATCCAATAGGTTAAAACAACATAACTTTGAAATGATTACCAAATCATAATTTTGAATCATATTGCTTGCTCTGATGACACCTTCCAACAAAAGCATAGATGAGAAATAAATACAGAATAGTCGAGCCCACCGACACTTAGTCACCACCTTCAGCAGACAGAGTACTTTACCTACAACAGGGTGAGATAAAACCCTGAGTACTCAATTATATTCAGCAAGACTTACCCGACGGGAGAAAAATGAAGACTCCAAGGATATGTATGGTTTATTTGGTGGAGCTAGTTGGATAGCATAATCTTTTGCAAAAGAGCTTACTATGTAAGTCCTTACTTTCAATATTTTAGCATCAAGTTCAGTGAAGCCAATTATAACTAAGTTTGCATCTATCCTGGAATAATCATTTGATTAATAAGTATCACAGTAGTAACCATATTCAATTATCATGATCAACAGAACCATCATGTTTCATCAGTTACTACGATTGTCGGACAGTGACTAAGTTTCTCACTAACCAGGAGAGACGGCGATTCGAATCGATTACATCCAGGTGGGCAATCCCGAACACACACCCGTACGAGCCCACATTAGCTCGCTTGGGTCACCGTTCACTCCATTCGGCGGTGAGTCTGGACCATTTCGCAAAACTCATGATCCTGCATCCTCACATGAATTGCCCGAAGCCCGTAGCAAACATGGTCTTGGACCAGTCCCCTTCCTTCAGGCTCTCCTCCCAGCAATGCTAACGGTCCAATATACTCAGCCCGAATGAGCTAATCGGCTTCACGATCAACTATAACTCAGGGCCCTGTTATGTGTTTGGTACCTTCAATCTCAACCAAGATCCGACAACGAAGCGGTCCTTAAATGATACAGACGGGATTAAAGAATACATGTCTAGCCGGCATCAACAACAACCATAATAGCACCGGATCCCGTTCGGTCTCCAGTTATCCATTATCACTAGTTCTTTTCCACGATAGCAAATATAGCCAATTGTGTTAGAGTAGCCACCTATGTCTCGCATGCGACAGGAATCACCCGACTTCTACCGGTCTAAGAAGCTAAGCATAGAGCGACCTATACATACTAGTAAAGATACATGTATATATATTGTAGACAAGATAAGACATGCAGCAACGAGTTTCAATTCAACTCCTATACTTAATGCACAATACAAAATATAAACTCAAGTGTATTTTAAAAGAGAGGTAGAAGGCTTAGAATGCTCCGGGGCTTGCTTGGGTGACTTCATAACAATAAGTTAGTTGGCTTTAGCTTCAGGACACAATCAACCATAGTCTTTATCTTCTGGACTTGGTCACCATTACACCATCTTCTGGTCGGTTACGTCCTTCATCTTCACATCATGCATCTAACGTACCTAATTGATATGCAACAATGCAAGACATTAATGCATAGAAGAGCAATGTACGATACATCACAAGAAGGTGAGCAAGGAAAACACAAGGTCATGATAGACTGGGCACAAGCACTTATATGAATGAAAGTTAACAAAACATCACACAAGTCTACCCTAGAGATATTAAAGCACATCAGCATCGCACACAAGTTACTTTAGTTCAACTATTTCAAGCAGTCATCAACCACAAGCTAGTCCAGCTTAGCATCAAACATACATGACTATTTATTAATTAATTGGTTGATCATATTACATGGCGAGCTCATGAGGTAGTTCAGGTGTATAAGTTAACTTCACTGAGGACATGAATTAATACTAACAAACATTCAAACAAGAGCAAGTTAATAACTCAACTTCCAAGCACATGCAGAGAATCTGGACAGCAGCACTGCAATCACTTGTTTTAGTCATAACTGAAGTTTTAGATATCCAACAAGGATGATCTTAGACTTTCAGGAAAGCTTAAGAAATTACCTACAACTTTCTTATTATCATCCAGAGCAGATTCCACAGTTAACTAGGCCAAATATTACAAACAAATATTTTTGTCCAGACTTGAACAGATTCTGACATTAAACTTCAAACATTTGCAACTGGAGTTCTAGACCATCAAAAGGTATGCTTTTTTAACATTTTGGAAA